TTTAAAAGACCTTGTTGACAAAACGTCCATGGAAGCTAAAGTTCATCTTTAGCTGTGGGGGCACCGTAGCCCGGGCTAGCTCCTCGAATGATTGGGCGTCTAGCACTAGCAGATAAGAGGAGTGGTCAGTTGTTCCTGCCAGGATAGGGCACAACACCACACCTGCAAGTCAGGATATACAAGGAGTGTCGTTAGCTCAGAGGCGTAGCGAGGGGGGTGCGGACCGCACCGGGTGACAATATTTTGGGGGGTGACACCAAGACAAAAAAAATAGCAAAATATATAGAGAAAAATTTGAGGGGGGGGGGGGTGCAAATCGACCTCGCTACGCCACTGCTTTAGCTATAACTTAACAATTAGTAATTAACTAGATCATAAACATTTTTAAGACCATAATTCCTTTAAAATAAGTAGTAAATAATTCAATGGCAGAATTTTCTAATACAACCTAATACGGTTTTACATTCGTAACAAAAACGAAAGTACAAATCTATGAATAGAGTGGGTAGTCTAACATTGACTGGTTCAACTTCTGTTTATACTTTAGGTTATCCGAAATGTTTAGTGGATTCCAACAATAGCAATTCTAATTTAGACGTTTAATTTAATTTAAACTCGTTATTAAATGAAACACTTTAAAACACGTTAAGCACTCCCCACTACCCTCCATAGTATGTCTACCCTACAACTTCCCTCGGAAGAAATAGGAATAGTATTACATTTAAATAGAAAATGATTCTTGATATATATCTAAAAATTATAACTTGCACCATTGTATGTTTCAAATTATTCCCCCTCCACTGAAGCAAAATTTAAAATAAGCAGTACAAAAATTAATTAACAATCGGAACAGAACCCCCCCCCCCACCACCGCCCCTGTTACCCTGTCTTTAAACACTGACGGAGACCAGATATATTCAGGGCCGGCGCTACCTATAAGGCGAAAAGGCGGTCGCCTAGGACGCTGTCCGTAGGGGGGGGGGCGCTAAAACGGGATGGAAAAACAAATTGAAAGTTTGAGGGGGGGGGGGTGCAAATCGAAAGTTTGAGGGGGAGGTGCAAATCAAAAGTTTGAGGAGGGGGGGGGGGCAAATCGAAAGTTTGTACCTGGGCGCCGGGAAGGGTCGCCACGTCTCTGATAATACGGGAGCACGAAAAAAATTGCGGGGGGTGTGGGGGAGGGCTTTTAATAAGTTTTGCCTAGGGCGCTAAATAACCTGGCGCCGACACTGGATATATATAACGCAAGCAGACGTTGACAAATGTTTGTACCGTCGTCCTCATCAGTAGCATCTGGCCGTGACACGAATACCGGCTCGCCAGGGATGTGATGCTCGTCACAGATGTACTCACGAGTTGTCTTCTCTTGGACATCACATTTATAGATCTGGGGGGTAAAACACATTTATAGATCTGGGGGGGGGGGGGGGGTAAAGCACATTTTTGGACATCACATTTATAGATGTGGGGGGTATATCACATTTTTAGACATCACATTTATAGATCGGGGGGGGGGGGGTAAACACATTTTTGGACATCACATTTATAGATCCGGGGGTATATCACATTTTTGGACATCACATTTATAGATCTGGGTGGTAAAACACATTTATGTACATCACATTTAAATATCTGGGTGGTAAAACACATTTTTGGACATCACATTTATAGATCTGGGGGGGGGGGGGGAGTAAAACAAATTTTTGGACATCACATTTATAGATTTGAGGGGTAAAACACATTTATAGATCTGGGGGTATATCACATTTTTGGACATCACAGTTATAGATCGGGGGGGGGGGGGGGGTAAACACATTTTTGGACATCACATTTAAATATCTGGGTGGTAAAACAAATTTTTGGACATCACATTAAAAGATCTGGATAGAGTAAAACACATTTATGGACATCACATTTAAAGATCTGAATGGTAAACACATGATAAACTTGAGACCTTCTGGCTGCTAGTCGAGAGCTCTACCACCCCCACCAAACCGTCCCAATGTGGTTTCAGCGTCTCTTTAACTGTCTCTAGAAACACATCAACTCCACTCAACTGCATCCATAGATTCTAAAAATGTTGCTTTTTAAATAGCTATTTCACTTTATTTGTATGTACTCCCATCCGGTTGTAACTATTCTTCTTGTCACATTTATCAGTTCGAGTACATAATTTAATAGAAGCTAACCCATGAGATAACTCAACGTATGTGATTATGTCTAGAGATGTAAACTGAGACATGCACTTTTTTTAGGCTTCTTTCTTAGGGCAGTCCGTCCATCCATCCCACCTCCCACTTACACCCTTGGGGAGATGCCTGAAAGAAACTCTGGACATGTACTAACCTTCCTGGTGAAAGTGACTATATCTGGAGATGTAAACTAAAACAGATACGCGTTGTGTGACTAAGTCTATGATATAAACGAAGACATATACGAGGTATGTGACTAAGTCTATGATATAATTGAAGACAAGTACAAGGTGTATGACTAAGTCTATGATATCAACGAAGACAGGTACGAGGTGTATGACTAACAGGTACGAGGTGTATGACTAAGTCTATGATGTAAACGAAGACATATACTAGGTGTATGAATAAGTCTATGATCTAAACGAAGACATATACGAGGTGTATGACTAAGTCTATGATACAAACGAAGACATATACGAGGTGTGTGACTAAGTCTATAATGTAAACGAAGACAGGTAAAAGTTGTGTGATTAAGTCTATGATGTAAACGAAGACAGGTAAAGTTGTGTGATTAAGTCTATGATGTAAACGAAGACATATACGAGGTGTATGACTAAATCTATGATGTAAACGAAGATAGGCACCAGAGTGACTAAGTCTATAATGTAAAGAAAGACAGGTACCACAGTGACTAAATCTATGATGTAAACAAAGACAGGTACCAGAGTGACTAAATCTATGATGTAAACAAAGACAGGTACCAGAGTGACTAAATCTATGATGTAAACAAAGACAGGTACCAGAGTGACTAAATCTATGATGTAAACAAAGACAGGTACCAGAGTGACTAAATCTATGATGTAAACAAAGACAGGTACCAGAGTGACTAAATCTATGATGTAAACAAAGACGAACCTTCCTGGTGTGTGTGGCCAAGGCGGTGCTGGCATAAAAATACCTGTAACGTCTGGCATTCCAGCTGTAGTTCATGCGTGGCAGCTCAATCAGGCATGACTCTGTTATGTTAATAAATTAAAGGCGGATGTTGCACCCAAAACTGGCGTTTTAATTATTGAAAAAATACTTTGGACTTTGGATGTTCGCATTGTGAATTTCATAACAAATAATAATTGACGAATTTGAAATATGTCTATCTTAAGTGGCATCGAGTGGGATGGTGTGAGTTTTTAAATTGAACTATATATATATATATATATATATATATATATATATATATATATATATATATATATATATATATATATATATATAGGTGAGCGGCTTACCTTCAAATACAGGGTCACTGGTGAGGTCAACAAGTGCAGAGTTCTTTGAGTGTTTCATCACTATGGCCGTGGCCGTTGTGTAGGTCAAGGTCACCAGGTTCGTGTTCAAAGCGGCCTGGTCGGGTTTTAAATAGATAGGTCACTCGATAGGAGGGAATTTTTAAAACTATTTCTTGGTGGTTGTTTTTTTTATTTCTTTCTAAGTTAGTCGATCTATGAAATTTTGGGAAGAAATGTTTTTGAAATTCCGTCTAGACTATGTCAATGTTTTTGTTCCTCTTCGTTCTGAATTCTATTGCATTAGGTTTGAACTTGTTATTTGCCGTATAGGCCGTTGACTCCGACTTCAGGCTGCATTTCTTTCTGGATTTGCTGCCATAGCCTTTATCACTTTATCCAAGCAAGAACAGTTGTTTGATTTTGGAGTTGTCTCTCCTAGATGGGTTTGTTGTCAGTAGATGTCGAAACATATCTGTCCCGGAGTTCGAACTCGTTCGTGACTTTTCGATTTAGCAGCCAAGAGCTTTACCGACGCAACCGCGCGTCTTTAAGTGAACAATTATCTTTCAAACTAAATATAGGCTTACTAATAAAAAAGCAGCCTTTTAAAATCAGACTACATAATAAAATAAAAACTACCTTATGAAAAGAAAATATCAATGAAAAGGATAAATTGTATCATTATAAATTGTAAATGTGTTACCTTTAATACAATATAAAAATGCAGCATTATATTAAAAAATTAACACTATTAAAGGGCTAACTACTAAAAATATATATAAATAGTATTTCAAATGTTTGCCTTTGTAACAAATTATCACTTTAAAAACGCTGCCATGTTGATGTATAAATAACTATCTCTATAAAGGGCTACTTTGTATAAAAGGGCTACATTGTCTAAAGAATTATCACTATAAAATGGCTACATTGTGAACAAAAAATATAACAATATAAAAGGTCACCTGTTACAAAATATAACACTATAAAATGCTGCCTGATATAAAGATATAACACAGTAGAAGGCTACCTGATAAAAAGGCTGCCTGATATAAAAAAATATAACACAGTAAAAGGCTACCTCGTCTGAAGAAATATCACTATAAAACTGCTACCTTGTATAACAAAAATAACGTTATTTAAAAAAAGACACCTTTTCGACATCAACAGGTAAGACAAAGCGCGCGAAGTGAGGCAGCGACACGGTGTTGTGGGGCTGGGCGCTCAAGGCCTCCAGGTACAGCTCCTTAATGACGCTGGCGTTCTTGTACAGGCAGACGTCACACACGATAAACCCGCCATCTTCGTAACAGTTGATGAAATGGAAGACGAACCCGTGGGGTGCCCTGTAGGTAATGGGTACCTTCTGACCCGTAGTTTTACTGACGACTATGATGTTGATCTTTAAAAAATATAAAAATTAGTTTGGTGAGTATACAGTTACTATACATACACTAAATACATACACATGTTTGGGGTGGGACTGTGTGGGATGGTATTTTTATGTGTATACGTTAGGGGCGTGTTTTTTTGGTGGTTGTGGGAGTTGGTGTTGTGTGAGGTTGTGGGAGTCGGTGTTTTTTACGTTCATAAAGTATACAGATTCGTTTTATGAAATATTAATACACGAGCCGACCCGCGGCGTATCATACGCCGTTAACACCGCTATTTAGTTGTTTTATTTTCTACTTTTCAGTAATTCGTAATTTGTTAATTCGACAGTACCAATGCTGCCACTGAAAATATTTGTTTTAAAACACTATCAGTAGTTCGTTAAGGACGATAACCCCCCCTCCTTTCCCCAAACCCTACCCCCCCCCCCCCTCCGTGAAAGCAGCCTCTTAGTTACCTCCCCTAAGTCGTCACTAAACCCGGCTCTACGATTGTAAACATTTAGCGTGAACCACAGCTCACCAGACCATGTGGGGGTGGGGATAGTAGCGATATGCCTAGAGAGGAAGAGAGGGGGCTGCGAGGCGCACTTACAGCTTGGTGTTTTATATCGTCTCCAAGAAGAGAATTATATATATATATATAGATGTTTTCTCTTGTAGTGTACTCGTATTTTCACTTTTACAAGGGAGCTTAACTTTTTTTTAAATGTAATACATTATCCAAGGGAGGCAACAAAAATATTTATCTTATAGTTAGAAAAAGTAAACCACAAATCGGTTAACAAAATTAATCAAATGTTTCACTGTTGATAATTTATAAACAATTAGCAAATTTAATGTAAAATTTAAAGTATTGAATATTTTCATCATAAAAAACGTATATAATTTGTTTGTAAATTAGTAACTTAAACTTAAGCATTTATTTGTACCTTTTTTGTTAAATAAAATGGCCAATTGTAACAAGCTTAATAACAAGCTAACATTTACTGATTAAACAATTAATTGGAAACAGATCTGCCAAAATGGCTGCGCCCATGTAGAGTTGACTTCTAAACTACTTGACTTACTAAAAACAAACAATGAGTCAAGCAGACCACACAGATATACAAGGTCAGAGTAAAATGTCAAATAAAGAAAATTCAGCAACTGCTGTAGACAAATCAATTAAAGAAAGAGTTCAACAAACTAAACCAACAACAACTGGATGGGGCAGTCTACCGTCAACATCAGTCTTCAGAGCTGTCAATTTTGAACTTTTTGTTAAACCAAATAAACTCGTAATGGCCTGTGGAGTATTGGCTTTTTCCAGTTGTGTAGCTTACATAGCTTATATGAACTTGACAGATGACAATAAAAAGGGAACATACGTAACCCTGGATTCAGATGGAGGATCAACTGTTCGACAAAAAACATCTCGCTGGAATTAGTTAATTTTGTTCTAACTACTCTGTTACTCAATTTAAGTTGAACAAATGCATGACATGAATAAAAATATGGACTATTAAAATTACACATTCTGAATCAAAGAAGCTGTACATGCAGTTCATGTAGTATTTCATACATATCCAAATATTTATCAATATTTATAAGTGTAGGACAATTTTTTTGAGTTCTTTTTAATACTTAGTTAATATTTTATGTATAGCTGACAAATATTGTTTTTGTAATTCCAGCCATCAAAATTTTTCAGAAGAATCCCATTTGTTTTATAATTTAATGATTTATTAAATTGTTTGGCAGTTTTCTTTTTCAAGAAACATGTTTTAATATGTAGATGAATTGTGATATGTATTTAGTAGTTATGTATATAATAATAGTAGTACAATAATCTTGATAATATATTATAATAAATATGAGATGTTGAAAAAAAAAAAAAAATTGGAAACATTCAAACAAAATGGCCGGAATTCACAAGATCTTAACTGACCAACTTTTGGAGTTTTACAGAAAATGCCTAGTAATGCTGAATACCGTAAACATACGGAACAAATTAATAATGAACGTTTAAGTTTAGTTAAATCAGTATCAGATCCATCAAAACTAGAAAGTAAAATCAACCGTGGACAGATTGAAGAAGTTATCAAGCAGGCTGAAGGGAGTTATCCTTGGCTCGTAAAATGCTGCTCTAGAAACCATGGGAATCTCTTGTTGGTCAAGCGCCACCAAACTAATGGAAATGGCCTCTGCCATAGATATTATAACATAAATACTTTTAATACTTGTTTATAGATACTGCTAGTGTTTTTTCAATCAGGTTACAAATGATGTTTATAGAAAATTAGTTGCTTTAAACTGTGCTCAGATATAATACGAACGATTTTTATCTATAGACGGTTATAAATACAGCTTGATGTAGCATGTTTTCTCTCATTAGCAGGTTTACGTCATGGTGTAAACACCCCCCACCCCTCCACCCTTGTCGGGATTGGTCAACTTTCCTCTTAAAAGACTATTTAACACTCTAATTAATCACTTATTTAAGTGGAATTATCATTTTTCTGAATATATTTTGCTATTTTTTGCCTCGGTGTCACCCCCCCCCCCCACCTAAATGGTGTCACCCGGTGCGGTCCGCACCCCCCGCTCCCCCCACCCTCGCTCCGAATCTGCTCAGATATTCAAGACTACGAATATTTACTACATATGTTGAGATATACTCTACTCGCCGCCTATAATCCATCACTAGCTCCTCCCACAGCCGCCTATAATCTACCTACTATCTCCTCCCACAGCCACCTATAATCAACTTACTAGCTCCTCCCACAGCCACCTATAATCAACTTACTAGCTCCTCCCACAGCCACCTATAATCAACTTACTAGCTCCTCCCACAGCCGCCTATAATCTACCTACTATCTCCTCCCACCGCAACCTATAATCAACTTACTAGCTCCTCCCACAGCCACCTATAATCAACTTACTAGCTCCTCCCACAGCCACCTATAATCAACTTACTAGCTCCTCCCACAGCCACCTATAATCAACTCACTAGCTCCACCCACAGCCGCCTATAATCTACCCACTAACTCCTCCCACAGCCATCTATAATCTACCCACTAACTCCATCCACAGCCACCTATAATCAACTCACTAGCTCCACCCACAGCCGCCTATAATCTATCTACTAGCTCCTCCCACAGCCACCTATAATCAACTCACTAGCTCCACCCACAGCCACCTATAATCTACCCACTAACTCCACCCACAGCCGCCTATAATCAACTCACTAGCTCCACCCACAGCCACCTATAATCTACCCACTAACTCCACCCACAGCCGCCTATAATCAACTCACTAACTCCACCCACAGCCACCTATAATCTACCCACTAACTCCACCCACAGCCGCCTATAATCAACTCACTAACTCCACCCACAGCCACCTATAATCTACTCACTAACTCCACCCACAGCCACCTATAATCTACCCACTAACTCCACCCACAGCCGCCTATAATCAACTCACTAGCTCCACCCACAGCCACCTATAATCTACCCACTAACTCCACCCACAGCCGCCTATAATCAACTCACTAGCTCCACCCACAGCCACCTATAATCTACTCACTAACTCCATCCACAGCCACCTATAATCTACTCACTAACTCCTCCCACAGCCGCCTATAATCTACCCACTAACTCCATCCACAGCCACCTATAATCTACCCACTAACTCCACCCACAGCCACCTATAATCTACCCACTAACTCCACCCACAGCCGCCTATAATCTACCCACTAACTCCACCCACACCCGCCTATAATCTACCCACTAACTCCATCCACAGCCACCTATAATCTACCCACTAACTCCTCCCACAGCCACCTATAATATACCCACTAACTCCATCCACAGCCGCCTATAATCAACTTACTAGCTCCTCCCACAGCCGCCTATAATCTACCTACTATCTCCTCCCACCGCAACCTATAATCAACTTACTAGCTCCTCCCACAGCCACCTATAATCAACTTACTAGCTCCTCCCACAGCCACCTATAATCAACTTACTAGCTCCTCCCACAGCCACCTATAATCAACTCACTAGCTCCACCCACAGCCGCCTATAATCTACCCACTAACTCCTCCCACAGCCATCTATAATCTACCCACTAACTCCATCCACAGCCACCTATAATCAACTCACTAGCTCCACCCACAGCCGCCTATAATCTATCTACTAGCTCCTCCCACAGCCACCTATAATCAACTCACTAGCTCCACCCACAGCCACCTATAATCTACCCACTAACTCCACCCACAGCCGCCTATAATCAACTCACTAGCTCCACCCACAGCCACCTATAATCTACCCACTAACTCCACCCACAGCCGCCTATAATCAACTCACTAACTCCACCCACAGCCACCTATAATCTACCCACTAACTCCACCCACAGCCGCCTATAATCAACTCACTAACTCCACCCACAGCCACCTATAATCTACTCACTAACTCCACCCACAGCCACCTATAATCTACCCACTAACTCCACCCACAGCCGCCTATAATCAACTCACTAGCTCCACCCACAGCCACCTATAATCTACCCACTAACTCCACCCACAGCCGCCTATAATCAACTCACTAGCTCCACCCACAGCCACCTATAATCTACTCACTAACTCCATCCACAGCCACCTATAATCTACTCACTAACTCCTCCCACAGCCGCCTATAATCTACCCACTAACTCCATCCACAGCCACCTATAATCTACCCACTAACTCCACCCACAGCCACCTATAATCTACCCACTAACTCCACCCACAGCCGCCTATAATCTACCCACTAACTCCACCCACACCCGCCTATAATCTACCCACTAACTCCATCCACAGCCACCTATAATCTACCCACTAACTCCTCCCACAGCCACCTATAATATACCCACTAACTCCATCCACAGCCGCCTATATCCCACTCACCGGCTCGTCCTTGAACTCCACCATAGCGTCAATGACACTGATACCCCTCAACTCGAGGCTCGTCAGCTTGGCCAGGTTATAGGTCAGTGGCTGCTCAAAGTGCACCAGGTAGTTCTCGGACATCCCGAACGAGTGCGTGTAGCTCAGGTGCATCCTCCATCTGCTGTTGACCCGCCCGAGAATTTCGGCCTTATTGAACTGAACTGGGGTCACCAGAGAGAGTTATTACATTATTAGAAGTGATCAATAAAAAAAAAATACAGATCATACTTGAATATGATGATTTGCTTATAGGCCTACACTTGAGAAAATAAAAATGTCTAGGTATCGACCATAAGTCATAAGTAACGTTACGATTCTTTACGGTTTTATTTATCTACACTCTACACAAAAGTCAAATCGCCCTAATAGGCCTACTTGAAAAAAAAATTATTGAGTTATTTCCCTTAACAAGTATATTTAGCTACTGTATTAATTGTTTGCTAGCTCAGTTCATCATCGTTATCTTTTCATGTTCGTGCCCAGGACACATGAAGTGGAGTTTTTATGTTTCAATGACCGCGGTGTACAAGGGTATAATGTGGTTAGCACTATGCACGGTAGCCTTAGTTTCCCTAACGTGAGTCAGGTACTCATCAGATCTGGGTATAGTTTGAGACGTGCCTTGAGCATGAGATCCGAACTAGAGACATTTGTATTAGTAGTCGTAAGCTCTACCAATAGATAGGTTGATTTACCCAAACTATTACTAATTAAAAAAATTAATGTTAAAAATGTATCATTTCTGTTCAAGATTAGGTAGGTTGGACAATCTATTCAAATTTTTAATTTGTTTTAGAAATTAAAAAAAATAAGTAAAAATCTTCCCCCCCCCCCACCCCGCTCACTCTCTTGTCACATCCAAGACTTTTTTGGGACCGTTTTCTTCCGGGGGGGGGGGGGGAGCATTGATATCCCTCTAAAGACTAGTCACATTTATGGACACCTCAACTGAGTAGGGTGTCACCCGGTGCGGAAACCCCTCCCCCCCTCCCATTCCATTCCCCCTTCTAAAACATTTAGCATTTTAGGTTTAGCGTCATCCCTCTCCCGCACTATTTTATTTTAACTTCATAAAACATAGTTTTGACATTAGATTGTACGACTTTACGTCATGATGTCACTGGCTGAATATTAACCCACCTTCCCCGCTGACAGATTTTGGGATGCGAACAAAATCGTAACCACTGCTTAACCCAAAATGGGTGGCGTAGTAATACAAGGATCCGTCGGTGTCGATATGCGCATGCGCAGTTCCCATATGTACTGCCAAGTAGTCCTTCATATCCACCTGCCAAAAACAAAAAAATTCAGTCATTTTTTTTCTGGACAAATCAGGGTTAAAATTAGGAGAATTTTTTTTTTAAATTCTACAATAGGACTGGCAAGTAGGTCACCAACTAGTTCTACGGCTCAATAAAACCTGCATGACTCATAGAACTGGTTGGTGACCTACTTACCAGCCCTATTCTTTGGATTTATTAAAATGATTTTTTTAAACTTGTTTTTGTAGAATTATAGGGTTATTTTTTTTTAATTAAAAACTTTGGGCTATTACAATTACCTCGGCCACTTTTTTCAGCGTGGCAGGGTTGACTTCATTGATGACAGTTGTCTCCGTCAGGGCGAAAAGCTTGTCCGCGCCCTCTACAAAGTGGACGGCCGTGTTGTCGCTCTTAGCACGGGGCAGGAAGTGGCTGAACAGGCTGGGGGTTCCAATCCAAGTTACGCATGTTTTTAAGATCGTTTGTAAACATGAAATGCTTAACTCTAAATATGACGTATATCGTTGTGTATGCTACGTTTAGTCTATTTTAAATTTGAATTCTAATTTTCGTTATTTTCCAAAAAAATAAAGCGAGAGTGATCTCCCCTAAACTTATACAACAGTCAGGGGTTGGATGGCACTTTCAGTTAAATCTGGCCAGAAAAATATTGTAACAAAACAGCTCAAATTTCGAGGTAACACAAAGAAGATGTGTTGATAGTATGCTTAATAAGAATATGAGTCATGAAAACTACATGTAAAGATTTTTCAGAAATCGGAGGAAGAGTAAGAATCATTTTCGGTTACTGAAAAATCTCCCAAAAGTTGATATAAATTAACAAATTAGATGTAGTTCTAACTACAACAATACCCGCTCATAGAAGTGATTACACAGCAAACATTAATCACAGCACTAACTAAGCTAATAAACTTGTGTTCAGTGATTCTTACAGGCATCACTTGGGGGGGGGGGTCTACCGCCGCTCACCATTCCCCCACCCACAACCACCCCCTCCCCCCACCCCTCCCCCGGAACGAAATGGAATTTATATAGAAAACATATACTTGTATCAATATCAAAACGTGCCTCCCCTTTCCCCCGGAGAATAAAGTCTGGAAAAACACTGTTTGTGTTCATTATGTGTTTATTAGAAAACAACATTTTGCAGGCCTAACGCTAGATATGAAGCACGGCCCCAACCCCATGTATGACTATAGAACCAACACCAGCTAATTTATTTCCGAAGGAAAAAATCTCACCTTTTAAAAATAGTTCTCAGGAAACTCCGATTAAAGCACACTCACCTGTTAAAAATAGTTCTCAGGAAACTCCGATTAAAGCACACTCACCTTTTAAAAATAGTTCTCATGAAACTCGATTAAAGCACACTCACCTGTTAAAAATAGTCCGACAAGGATCGGGAAAACTGGCTCCAAAGTTGACGCCGACTAGCCTGTGGTACTTGACACACTTCTTGTAGTTGTTGGAGTCCAAAATGGTCGACAGGTAGGTCACCTTGCCCTCGTGGATGGTCCAGCGATGCAGTAACGCCAGCCCATCAAAGACGTGGCACCACGCCCTGTCGCCCAGTTTGTACACACCGTTGCCCACTCGGTACAAAGATCCCGTAACCCACGCCGGCAAGCTGCCTGGAATATTTAAGCGTTTGTCTCCCTTAAGCGATCGTCCAGTCCACGAAAGTAAATTTAATTTAAACATTTTTTTTTTTTTTTTTTTTTGCGTACCTGCAGAGTTACGCAGTTAAAAAAAAAATAACAGTCTTCATTAAAATAAAAACATAAGCATGTAGGAATATAGGAAAAAAAAGTGTATTTATAATCTCTGAGTAAATTTCTGTTAATTTGAACGCGCTCAACTCTATAAGGATTTTTTTTTTTTAATTTCACTCTCAGCACTTAATTTTCCCGTAGCCAAACTTACTCTATATGAGTGATACACAAATGAAGTAATCTTTAAAAAAATTTACATAGGGAAAAAAGTTGTGTTGAATATGTGTGTATAGCTTATACTTTTTTCTTTGGGGGGGGGGGGGGATGACGCAATGAGGTGCCGTACCGGGTGACACCCGACCCAGCAAACGCAACGCCACTGGTTAGGAATACAATGCAAGCCATCGACAAAGTTTGGTCATATAGTAACCATGCATGTGTGTGTGAACATATGTTTGCAGAGTTTACACTATAACTGTTATGGGCGTCAACGCTATTTATTAGCTCGCGGGAGGGGATTATCTATCTCCTTGAAATTATTAAACCGCTAATTAGTGTTGAGAACATCAATGTTCTTAGCTTAGTTATTTATTTCGGTTTATGAAATATTCAAAAAGTTATTTAATCAATTTCGGTTTATGAAATATTCAAAAAGTTATTAAATAAATTTTGGTTTATGAAATATTCAAAAAGTTATTTAATCAATTTCGGTTTATGAAATATTCGAAACTTAATTTAAACCCTACCTATGGCTGTAAAAAATGAATCTCATAACGAATTTGTCGATAATAGTTCGTCAGAGAGAAATAACAGAGTGCTGTGTCATGCAGTACACGTCAACATTTAGAGTTAAACCCTGTATGAAAGCCTACTCACCTGTAACAGGTAGATCTATCGGCTTGTCTAGATTCGCGGTGACATCAAAATCAAAATACTGAGGCAGATCCTTAATTTCCGCGGCAGAATTCATAATTTTTTTTTCTTCCCTTCAATTCTTTTACTTTCACAAAAGCTTGTCTTTTACTGTGTTTTCACAACTGGACTCCCAACAAGTTTACTAAATGATGAAATGGTTAAAATAAAAACGTGGGTCACATGTTTAGTTAGAGCCAATTCATGGTGGCTGTAACAGGTGTTGTTTTAACACGCTCATTGAAATTCGTCAGACCGTTTGTATACAGGTATGGGAAGATGAAAAGAACTCGAAACGTCAAGATTATATAGTTGTAGGGATAACATTTGTGACATTTATCAAGGAATAAGAGCAGTTTAACAGAAGTGACAAGTTTAATTTATATTTGAGAAGAACTTGATAAAAGTGTGATGTTTTTGTGGTATCAAGTTTTATAACAGTCATTTAGCAATCATAGTATACAGACAATGTATGCATAGGTATACACATGAAAGTGTCGAAGTTAGATATATTTTAGAGTCTAGCCTTTAAATGTCAATGTGATAGGTTTGTGTAAATAAATGGCAAATGTGATTTTATAAAACATATACAGCGGCTGCACAAACAGCCTAAGTTTCGTGCAAAAACTTCGAAAAAAAAACTTTAATGCAAAATATATTAAAATAACTGTACTTAAAAAAGCTGTCACAATAGACTGTCCTAGAGGTACATTCATAGTAAAAATTATCCTACATGCATCATTACTAAGCTGTCTCGCTACTTCTGTTTAATGAAAACAAAGCTGTCTAGCTACTTCTGTTTAATGAAAACAAAGCTGTCTTGTTACTTCTGTTTAATGAAAACAAAGCTGTCTTGTTACTTCTGTTTAATGAAAACAAAGCTGTCTAGCTACTTCTGTTTAATGAAAACAAAGCTGTCTTGTTACTTCTGTTTAATGAAAACAAAGCTGTCTTGTTACTTCTGTTTAATGAAAACAAAGCTGTCTTGCTACTTCTGTTTAATGAAAACAAAGCTGTCTAGCTACTTCTGTTTAATGAAAACAAAGCTGTCTTGCTACTTCTGTTTAATGAAAACAAAGCTGTCTTGTTACTTCTGTTTAATGAAAACAAAGCTGTCTTGTTACTTCTGTTTAATGAAAACTTGTATTTAAATAATTTTCCACAGGTCAATTTTCTAGTAAAATCATCACAATTTCTTTTAAAAATTGGATTTGTGTCATTAAATTATTACTACTAGAAAACAGACCAGAAAGAATGTATTACGTACTAAAAGAAATACCTTTAAAAACGGGCCACAAACGAATATACTATGCAAGAATCAAACAAAACTGAAGAGAACCTGTTTCACCAAGTGAGAAATTCTGTAAAATAACATCCCAAACGTTTAATGTGTGATCCTTCCAAAGCCTGCTAGCCTACGTGTTTATTAATGTTTTTCTTCCATTGTATGCACGCGACCTAGATCTGAACACAACCAAAATAAACACAAACGTACCTTAACAAAACCACTGTCTCGGATCACAGCACTGCTGACGACGATAAAATACGGATGTTAAAACAGCGGGCTGAGCTCCGTTTCACGTGACCGAACCAACCACTTAGAAGCCAAGTATGAAAGGATGGTGAAATAAATACGACTTGACGATATGATGCATGTTGCAGAGGTGTAGTTTTTCATGGGGGTGTTGAGTTTCAACAAAGTCTAATGTCACCGTGATTGTAAACACGCCTTGAATTACTTGCAGATTAGCTAGCCGCTAACCTACATCTGTGTCAAAAAAAATGTTTAAGCAGAATTAAAATATTTGCTTAAAACATTGTACAATGTAAGAACAAGGTAAATTTATTCACCTATCGACCTACACCCTCACTTTTTTGTTGCGTCAGCTGTTATTTCAATAGAACAAATTTAAATGGTTAATACAAAAAAATTTAAGTTATTATTAGAAAATCTTAAGAATAAATTTAAAAAATAACAATATAAAAATACTGAGATGCAAAAGGCAAACATGACTAAATAAAGAAGTCTTTGTGCAATTTCACACAATATGTTATGTAATATTCTTCCTGTACTAGCTAATATTAGTAGCTTACAGAAGAAAAGAAAAAAAAAGTAGGTATTTTGACCGAAGTTCTATTGCCGCCTCTGAAGTAATACGCCACAAGGCTGTAGCCCGCACTTCACTCATCAACACCAACTACTGTCACTGAACTCGACCTAATGTTGTATTGTAACATCAACTTGATGGCGTGGTTCGGTGGTAGAGCACTCGATTACTACCCTGAAAGTTTCGAGTTCGGATTGCGGTCCGGACTTAAGTCTGATGGACGTCCCTGAGTCCACCCAGCTCTGACGGGTACCTGACACACGTTAGAGAAAGTAAAGGCGGCTAAGCATAGTACTGACCACACTATCCCTTCTAATGTCGATATCAAGAAACAGATTAACTCTACAGTAATGACTCTATTCAGAGGCGTAGCGAGGGGGGGGGGTGCGGACCGCACCGGGTGACACCATTTAAGGGGGTGACACCAAGGCAAAAAATAGTAAAATATATAGAGAAAAATTTGAGGGGAGGGGTGCAAATCGAAAGTTTGAGGGGGGGAGGGGGGGGGGGGGGGGTGCAAATCGAAAGTTCGAGAGGGGGGATGGGGAAATCGAAAGTTCGAAGGGGGGTGAAAATCCAAAATTGAAAGTTTGTCCCTGGGAAGAGTCGCTACGCCTCTGAGGGGGTGACACCATTAAGTGCCGCACCGGGTGACACCCGACCTCGCTACGCCACTGACTCTATTTAATCTGCTTTATGGATTGTTAGGTCTAAAAAGAGAACCTTACTTACTTTTACCATCTCAAAGACGTAAGCACGTTTTAACTCCATTCAGACATACTCTGATTGCCACGCTGTTGTTTATAGGCGTTTTTAACTAGGAACAGCAACCGTGAATAAATCAGGACAACTGCAAAACATACTGAAATTTTTACAAGGCATATAAAATGACAGCAAGATGGCATAAACCCGGACAGCTATATGGCATTAACACGTACAGCTACAGAACTAAAACCCGGACAGCTACATGGTATAAACCCGGACAGCTACATGACATAAACCCGGACAGCTACATGACATAAACCCGGACAGATACAGAACATAAATCCGGACAGTTACAGAACATAAACCCGGACAGCTACAGAACATAAACCCGGACAGTTACAGAACATAAACCCGGACAGTTACAGAACATAAACCCGGACAGTTACAGAACATAAACCCGGACAGCTACAGAACATAAACCCGGACAGTTACAGAACATAAACCCGGACAGCTACAGAACATAAACCCGGACAGCTACAGAACATAAACCCGGACAGCTACACGGTATAAACCCGGACAGTTACAGGACACAACCACGGACAGTTACAGAACATAAACCCGGACAGTTACAGAACATAAACCCGGACAGTTACAAAACATAAACCCGGACAGCTAGAGAACATGAACCCGGACAGCTACAGAACATAAACCCGGACAACTACAGAACATAAACCCGGACAGTTACAAAACATAAACCCGGACAGCTAGAGAACATGAACCCGGACAGCTACAGAACATAAACCCGGACAACTATAGAACATAAACCCGGACAGCTAGAGAACATAAACCCGGACAGCTACATGACATAAACCCGGACAGCTACAGAACATAAACTCGGACAGTTACAGAACATAAACCCTGAAAGTTACAGAACATAAACCCGGACAGCTACAGAACATAAACCCGGACAGTTACAGAACATAAACCCGGACAGCTACAGAACATAAACCCGGACAGCTACAGAACATAAACCCGGACAGTTACATGGGATAAACCCGGACAGTTACAGAACATAAACCCGGACAGCTACATGGTATAAACCCGGACAGCTACAGAACATAAACCCGGACAGCTATAGAACATAAACCCGGACAGCTACGGAACATAAACCCGGACAGCTATATGGCATAAACCCGGACAGCTACATGGCATAAACCCGGACAGCTACATGACATAAACCCGGACAGCTAGAGAACATAAACCCGGACAGTTACAGAACATAAACCCGGACAGCTACAGAACATTAACCCGGACAGCCACAGAACATAAACCCGGACAGCTACATGACATAAACCCGGACAGTTACAGAACATAAACCCAGACAGCTAGAGAACATAAACCCAGACAGCTAGATGACATAAACCCGGACAGCTACAGAACATAAACCCGGACAGTTACAGAACATAAACCCGGACAGCTCCATGACATAAACCCGGACAGCTACAGAACATAAAAAATTACAGGACATAGATCAAAGATAAATCTATGAAAACAACGAGACACATTAAATTAAGAGGATGTAAACAGCAAAACATTCTCTTAACCGTAGAGAAACAAACATGTTTATAGCTCAGTCTGGAGATGAATCCCATTACCATTCCAGGGTCACAACTAAGTTTTCTGAACAGTGGGGAGGGGGGGGGGGCGTCTAGTTTAACTACCCCTCCTCGCCAAAAACACATATTATAATCGTACTGACGCTGCAGTATTTTTAGAAAGCCTTCTGTTCAATACTCTAAATAATCAATAAATCGATGATCTACTAACCCAAAAGTTCAGCACTATCTGATACTAAACGACACAACCAAGTTTTTAAAATGCAGAACATTCTAGAACTATGTCTATCTGATAATAAACGACACAACCTTGGTATTAAAATACAGAACATTCTAGAACTAGAACTATCTGATACTTAAAGACACAACCAAGTTTTAAAAATGCAGAACATTCTAGAACTAGAACTATCTGATACTAAACGACACAACCAAGTTTTAAAAATGCAGAACATTCTAGAACTATGTCTATCTGATAATAAAAGACACAACCTTGGTTTTAAAATACAGAACAGATAGATCTATATGTTTGACAAAAACATTTAAAACGTAACTTAGGTTTTAAAATACAGAATATTCTAGAACTATACCTTCTTGATAATAATAGATACAATTGGGACTAAGAATGTGTTAAATTACGTGATCTAAGATACTCAGCGATACTAAGATTCTTAATGGCAATTGCTTTTGAGTGAGTCAGAATTTCGGTAACTATAGTAGCCACACTGTAAGAGGGTACTAAAAGAAATTTAAAAAAAAAACATTGAAATCCCCTTTGTTTCCCTTCTTCCGGGATATACTTTACACGTTTTTTTTTTCTATTTCGTCTGGAGGGATGTGGTGAAAGTTCTCACGGGGAGGGGGGCGGCCCTCGAAGATATGCCTGAAAGAAACACAGATTCGGTTTATTTTATTGCACATATTTATTTGGTATTTTAGTACAACTGCGTTGTTCAAGGGCAAGATAGCTATGCTAGAAAATCTTAGGGGAGGCAACCAATAATAAGTAATAAGAAAAAAGCAATCGTGAGTTGATTCCCTTTTATTAAAATCGTTTGTTTTCAGTTTACATCAAAACTTACATTTTGCGTCCTAGTATCAGTGTAATTACTATCAGTCATGAAACAGTACAGGTGGGTGGTTGGAGCAGGGGTGGTGACGTTATTATTTAAAACTGTTAAACTGCTTGCCGCCTTATTATACATTGCTTACAATTCACAATTTTGTGCTTCAAGAAAGTTTATTTTATACCAGAGGCGTAGCGAGGGGAGCGGGGGTGGGTACATATGTCCCAGGGCGCCGACCTTAGGGGGCGCCAAAATTGGTTGAAAAAAACAAATTAAATTCTCATTTTAGCTGCGGTTTTGCATTATAACTATAAAAAAAATATATGGGTGGGGGTGCAAATCGAAAGTTTGAGAGGGGGTGCAAATTGAAAATTGAAAGGTTGCTCCCGAAGGGGCGCCAAATTGAAAGTTTGTCCCCGGGCGCCGGGAAGGGTCGCTACGCCTATGGTTTATATTACTCTATAGCCAACTGTATCGTGTGTTATAAATAGCTTTTCAAACGTATGTATTGCATTGTTGACATGCAAGTTACGTCAGAATATAAAGCCGTTTATATGTCGATATGTCCTATGTCTCTGTATGTCAGCGACCTATACATATGTGATTTTGTTTGTTTAATATGCTTTAAGGGGACCCATCGAAATATGAAGCAAAACATTTAATCTAAAATATGTTTCATTAAAAATATGTTTACATTTTAACCACTCCTTCTTTAAATTTTGAATTTTTAGTATCCCAAACAATTATTTTAGGTTGCGCGCAATAAGGTAATTTAGTTTGGCCTACATAACATTTTAGCGAATTCATGTTTTGTTATATTTCTATAACGAAAAATAAACACTTGAACAAGTTGTTAAAAATAGATGGGATAAAATTGCGCACGGGAATGTTTTGCACATGTGTGCACCTTTTAGCACTGTTACAACGCTCAGCACCGTTCACTCGGCGCACAGCAAGAACAACAAAGCTCTTATGATGTTTTAGCTTCTATTCCGGATTAGTACGTAGTAATCGTTAAATTTATGCTCTTATTCTTCTATAAGTTATTTGTAGTTGTGTGCTTGTCTTTCTTATTTTAAGAATATTAGAGTGATTGAAAGATGGAACATTAAGGCAAAATTTGGTTACAACACAAAGGCTTCATCTTTTTACCTTAAAATCTACATTCTAGATTATTCCAGATCGAGATTATCTCGATCTAGATCAGTGGTTCTTAATCAGTGGCGTATGAGGGGGGTGTTAATCGAATGTTTGAGGGGGGGGGGGTGTAAATCGAAAGTTTGAGGGGGGGGGGTGCAAATCGAAAGTTTGAGGTGGGGGTGCAAATCGAAAGTTTGTCCCCGGGTAAAAATTGGAACACCCCCCCCCCTTGAGACGATCCTGGCTACGCCACTGTTCTTAACCTAGGTACGATCGAACCCCACGGGTTCGGCGATTCAGTCTCAGGGGTTCGGCGGAGGTCAAGACACACATCCAACTCATGATTAACGACCGGATTTTGTCAGTGCGGACGATAGGATGTGTTCAGTCAATGCGCATATGAAACCGATGGGGTTAAGAACCACCGATCTAGATCTAGATTCTAGGTTTGCAAAGATCTACGTTAAAACTTCCGCAGCTTGGTTTTTTTTTAATCAGGGCTTATATAGTAGTTATAGCCCTGGTATATCGGATAACTAGAGTAGGCCAATATGTATTATCTAACCTCAATTCTCTTTAAATTTGGTCTCAAAGAGAGATAGGGGAGGGGGTGTAAATGCTCAGTCCCCCATCTCGAAGAGATGCCTGGAAGAAACTCTGGATGTCTGGAAGAAACTCTGGATGTCTGGAAGAAACTCTGGATGTCTGGAAGAAACTCTGGATGTCTGGAAGAAACTCTGGATGTCTGGAAGAAACTCTGGATGCCTGGAAGAAACTCTGGATGCCTGGAAGAAAAAAATGATTAATATGTTTAACTCTTTGTAACAGTTCTGTGATACGTTATGTCTCATAAATCGCTGCACCACCACAATGGATCTTGTCCAGACAGTGGCGTAGGCAGGGGGGTTAGGGGGGGGTCATAACCCCCCCCCATAGACCCCTCGGTATATATATATAAAGTATGAGGGGGTGCAAATCGAAAGTTATAGGTGGGGGGGGGTGCAAATCGAAAGTTTGAGGTGTGGGGTGGAAATAAAAAGTTTGTCCCCGGGTAAAAATTGGACCCCCCCCCCCCCTTGAGATGTTCCTGGCTATGCCACTGTGTCCAGATCAGCCCCGCCTTTAATGCAAAAAGTGCAGGGGCTAAAAGTTAAGCCCTGCTACTTGTGACCTGTTTCTGGTGTCTAGTCGAACATTTTAACACACAGACAAAAAAAAAAAAAAAAAAAAAAAAAAAAAAAAAAAAAAAAAACTATCACCAATGGTTATGGTGGTTGGGTTCTAAAAGTACAAGTTACATATCCTCTTTAATATAACTTTTTGGAGGCGGGGGTGGGGGGCGGGGGGTTAACCTTTTTGGCGGGACTTATCTGGACAAGATCCAACAATATAATAAATTAAAATTTTATTACAAAAGTTTTTTTTTTTTTTCAGTTCCAGTCAGAACCGTTGCTTAGTTGAACATATCAGCGCACCAGACGAGCGGACATGCCCCGGAAAACCACGAAGAAGAAGACGGTGCGTAAGTCGAGAGACGCCAGCCCTGACTCCTGTGACTCCGATGGCTACTCCAGCGACAACCTGTGCGACTACAACAAGAGCGGCCTGTCGAAACGCTCCTACAGAAACAGAACAGCTGAACATCCATTTAGTGATGATTTTTTTGCGACACCGTAAGTTTATCCCTTGATTGTTTTAATATTTTGGGTTTTCTATTTGTATGTTAACTTAAGATAACAAGATCTTTGCGTGAATTATCTGAAATAAATTAGTACGTTTAACCCTATCCTCTGTAACATATTTCAATATAATACATATTAAGACCCAGTAGCGTAGCGAGGGGGGGGGCGGGGGGGACATATGTCCCCGGGCGCCGACCTTAGGGGGCGCCAAAATGGGTTGGAAAAATAAATTGAAAGGTTTAGGGGGGTGCAAATCGAAAGTTTGAGGGGGGGGGGGTGCAAATTGAAATCTCGAGGGGGGGTTGCAAATCGAAAGTTTGAGGGGGGTGCAAATGGAAATCTCGAGGGGGGGGTGCAAATTGAAAGGTTTAGGGGGGTGCAAATCGAAAGTTTGAGGGGGGTGCAAATGGAAATCTCGAGGGGGGGGAGTGCAAATCGAAATCTCGAGGGGGGGGGTGCAAATCGAAACGTTTGTCCCCGGGTGCCGGGAAAGGTCGCTACGCCTCTGTTAAGACCTACATAATGTAAATGTAATTTGGGAGCCCCCCACCCACTATATAGTTCGACCACATACAATTAATTCTAATTGGTAGCCGCCCCATATAATGTTATCAGTTTGATTTCACAAAAATGTCTTGACCAAACTTTTATTTACTTTCAAGTAAAGCATTTGATGATCGAAACATTTAATAAAAATTGCCATGTGGGGTACTTTTTTATAGGCCTAGGCTAATTAAACAATTAAATGTAGGCCTATAGCCTAATCCTATATTATTATTAACCATGAAAGGTAAAAAAAAAATTAACCATAAATAAGCTTACATACTATTAGAATGTAGAACACATTTTTTTTTTAGTAAAATGATCAAAGTGCCACATAAAAATTGGGAAAACACCCAACACTTTGGGGAAAATAACCAGACTTAAAGCTTTCTGATAAAACTTTTATTTTCTAGAGCATTCGTAGGATTTCCCGTTTTTTCCCGTAGTAAGGTACATTGGACCAATGGTATTTCTTGTCTCAGATTATTTTACTAAAGCATTTTTTGATTGGTTGAACTATGTGACGTAGTACACTTATATCTCACTACCCAGAAGACTAAAGTTAGAAGGAAATACATTGCCGAGCAGTACGGATTTCTTTATCTAAGTATTCTGTCTTGTTGCGTTCTAAAACAATAATTCTCAAAAATGCTTGGGACTTCAATGTTCGATGATCCATTTTTTGCGTAAGTGTATATGATACGAATTTAGGCTTAGCTAGACTATCTTGTTTCGTAACGTTATGTATTTTTTCTCTTATGTAATCTGCTGGATGGGCTGGGCAGGATTTGACTGACTGACCTACTCCAGTAACCAGTGGTGCACATCTGTGTCACCTATGACAAGCAACTTTCTTTTAACGAAATGCTATTTTTATCCTTTTCAGTTGGCCTTATGACTCTGTTATCATCTTGTAGACCGATTAGAATAGATTCTACTTCTAGATTCATCTCTAGACTCTAGTAGACTAGATTTATCTCTCTACAATACAATACAATCCCTACATTAAACAGTAGGGCCTACATAGTTACTTAGTACATACATTCATTAAACATTTGTACATTCTACAAACAAATTTTAATTTATCAAATTACAATGACTTAAGACTAAGACTTACGAAATAATTGACTACAATCATCATGTAGGGCCTAACTAAAATCTAGATTGTATTACTAGCAGATCTTAGCTAGATAGTAGAGATGAGTCTAGAAATAGATTCTCTAGAATTAGAATCCTAAATCTAAAGCCTTTAGAGACTAAAGGTTATCCAGATCAGATTCTAGGGATGAGTCTAGAGGTATGATTCTCTTGAATCTATTGATTCTATTCACTCCAATTCTAAAGACTATCGAGATCAGATTCTAGGTCTCGGTCTAGACTTTTTATTAGTATGATAGTATCATTCTAGATTCTAGATAAATCTAGATCTAGATCTAGATCTGTCATTTGAGAATCTCATTTTAAAGCTTTTGGAAATTGTCATTTCTAGATGTAGACGGTAGATTCTAGATATATCTAGAGAGATTCTACTACCCTAGAAACCTACTGCAAGATTCTCTAGATCTAAGCTAGATCTAGTAGTAAACTACTTGTTACTTAGGCCTACATTTTTATAGGTCTGCCTAGTATTAATTAAATGTATCAAAGTGACTAAGAATACTTAGTTAATAATATTAATACTAAGATAGGTGTCATAGGCCTAGACCTAATCATGTCTGATCATAACTCACAATCATCATAAATGTTCAGATGACTAGTAGATCTCTAATACTAACTAGGCTGTAGGCCTACATTAGTCACTATTTTTAGTGAGCAGTAAGGCAAGCACACACTACACCCTAAGCCCTAATCATTAACATTAATTAAAACAGCCCACAGTCAAACAGTTGGTTTATAATGTGGGTAACTATAGCAAGACTAGCCTTCATTTTAAACAATTCTACTTAAAACGTTAGTCTTTTTGTATAGGTCTATAGCCTCTGTACTCGACATGACCCCAGGAAAGGCTTAATAAATTTTCATAGATAAATAATGCCTACAGATTTTTAATGCTAACTATTATGAATGATTAGGCGAATTATCATTATTTAAACATTGCTGTCCCAAAGCTAGTTTATTAACTCATTTGTTTTTTCATTAAGATGTAGGCCTGTACACCATTTTGTTCCAAATCCACCCAGATATCTTGGCACAAAGTTTAGTTGTCATGTTTATCATTTACACGCTTCCATCTTACCAACTGCTTAAAACTATCATGGAAAAAAAATCTGACTGAACATTTTTTAGTATAGACAGCTGGTTTTCGGGCAACATTATTCCACTGCAATGTGAATATAGGCAAATAGCCTGTGCCAGTTCAAACAAGAAATTAAATGCCTAAACTTTTAGAGTTTTAAATCATTCAGTATGACTAAAAAGTCTGTGACCCTTTTAGATAGCATGCAAACAAAATGTACACATTTTGTAACTCAAGTTGTAGATTTTTTTATTTGGCCAATTTATGTTTAAGTTTACCTGTTGGGCATGAAGGATTTGTAGCCTACTGCTTCACATTAATATTATATGGTATCGACCTCTTTAGTCTCATTAATAGTAACAATTGTATTTTTATTTTAAATTGAAGCCAATTGTATCTTTTGTCTTAATCATTTTTGAATGCATTATCAAACCTGTTTCAGATGCTGGTTTAAAAGCACTTATAGCTTTTTAATCAAATTTTTTTTTATTGTAGTGGACATCGAGAACACATGAGGCAAATGGACCAGATGTTCAGAGACCCATTTGGGAGCTTTGGTGGTGGTATGTTAGCACTGCCTGGCAGTAACAGACAAGATTTTAGAAGACAACAACAGCAGGCTCAGAACATGCAGGTGGCAACAAACAACATGTTCATGGATCCTTTTGCACACTTTGGTTCAATGTTCTCCAACATGAGGTCCATGATGTCTGATATGCATAGAGCTTTTGTAAGTGTTTGATTCACATTATACTGCCCATATGTTTGCATTAAATTTTACCATCTATTATTAGTCCACAGTAGTAGTAGTATACTTTATACTTATGTTGGCAAGACCTTCTTTAAACAATTTTGCTAATCTCTCTACCTAATCCTGACCTATGTTAACAGTTGTACAATGCTAAAGAATGTCCTAGATATGATAGTCTATTGACCTAAGGCATTGCTTGCAAGTAACAGTTATTTGATCAATTCCAACCCATGTATTTGTTGTTTCAGGAGCAAACAGCTAGTGATCCCAATGCCCAGGTGTATCAGCAGTCTTCTTTTATGTCTTACTCTAATACTGGCAGCGGTGCTCCTAAGGTTTATCAAGCTTCATCCTCATCATTTCAAGGGCCTGGAGGGGTAAGTGGCTTTGATTTTTATGATGGGGGGGGGGGGGGGGGGGGTATCTTTTGGAATGGGGTTCAGAATTTGTGTGACTTAAGCATTTTTTTAAATGCAGGTTAGGTTCAAGTTTGATTGTGTTAGTTGTTTGGTTTTTTGTTTTTTTTTTTTTTTTTTTTTTTTTTTTGTTTCTTTTTATAAATTTGTGTTTGACAGAAACTACAGTATTACACTGTTGTTGAGCTAAAATATTTTCTTATGTTATATGTTGGGGAATTTTTTGTAAGATTTATATAAATATAGGTGATAACAGTGGTTGTTTGTATTAGTTCCAGTACTATTCATCCATTGTGGAATGATCATCCTTTGCTTTTAAATATGTTTTGCTCACTGTTATACCTCAACTTTTTTAAATTCAACTTTTTTAAATTCATTTTGCTATTTTGTGCAGGTTAAGGAAGTTAGGAAGTCAGTCAGAGACTCTGAAAGTGGTTTAGAAAAATGTGCTATAGGACATCACATAAAGGACCGGGCTCACATTATTGAGAAGAGTCGAAATGCAAAAACAGGTGAAGAAAATGAGAATCAGGAACTCATTAATCTTGATGAAGGTGAGTTGGTTATAATTAAGTTGGCGCGTTATTTTAGTCTTAGTAAAATAGATTTTGTAGTAAATAGTAATTTTGTATTAATAAAAGTTGATGTGATGTTAATAAATTAACCATAATTTCAGATGAAGCTCAACATTTTGATCAGGAATATCAGGACAAATGGCGCAGCACAATGCGAGGTATTGAGGAAAGGAGGAGGGTTGAGAGATCTCGACATGCGCCAGTAGGTGATGTCTCCCACCGGTCACGTCATCTAGCCTTGCCTGAACCAGAATCACGTCGACACAGAAAATCCAGCAACCGCAAGGAGTAATCCTGGTTGCCTGTACTCCGTCCATGTGGAAAGACTTTTGGATAACTGAGTAGCCAAACTGAGGCAGGAACTTTAAAAATCTGGTGCAGCAGGAAGGAGCTTATGAAGCTTCTGGCAGAGATTTTTTTTTCTACAGGTTTACAATTGTTTGGTGTTGGTATGATTATGGCATCTGTTTTCAGCAAATTTTCAGAAACTATGGACTAGCTGTTTAGAGAAGGAATTGTGGACCTGTTTTCTATTTGTAAATATGATTTATATCCTATACCAAGATTTGAGGAGTGAATAGTTAAGTCAGTAATGTCCAAACAGGACTTACCTCCTGCTGCTCTACTGTATATAAATTCAAATGTTAATCTGTTTTAGATAGATTCCATTACAGATACTTAATTCCTTTGTAATCTATGTTGCACATAATCCATTTCAATATTGCAAGAAAATTAAAAAGCCGATGTTTGTTGTATACACATTTTCATTGTATTTTATTATTTTGAATGGAGTTTTGCTGTTGATTTAGTGTTAAATGTTTCTGCACAGTTGACATGATCTTTTTCAATAAGGAATTTTGCTTTTGGGAAAGGTTAAATTAGTAGTTTGTGTTACGCATTTTTAATGAAGACATTTAAAATTATTTTTTATGGAAATTTTCTGTTTCAAAAATGTTAACTGTCAAGAATTTTTTATCTACTAGCAGAATTTTACAAATTTATTGCATAAGCTTCTGTTAGTAATTTTAGTAGGAAGGTTTTTTGTTTTAGATTGTTGAAATGAAAATGTTGTGAAATATTTAATTTGAAGTGCTGGTTGAAACATTTTTGTTTCCGCCAAAAAAAAAGTTAATATTTTGATACAACCAGACGTGTATTTGTTGCATGCTCCTGTATACACCTTGACACCACAGCATTCCATAACATTTGACAATGTGAGGGTGGGTGACCTGGTCTAAAAGTGGGTGTTCTTTGTTCTGTGTCGTTTGGAAGTTCACATTATTCTAGACATTTTACCTTGACCTGGAATGATGAAGAATTGATTGGAACGTTCTTGTTTTATTTAGTTTTATTTTTTTATTGTATCTGAATAGAATAAAGATGTTGACTTCTGAAAAACTGCTGTAACTGAATTTGTAGTGTAAGTTGAGTTTTGTGTGAATGATAGGGTATTCTAAACTTGTTCGTGAAGCTGTCAGAATTATAGTGTGCCTAAATATTTTTTTTTACTTTGGTCTTTTACGGCTGTTGTTTACAGAAATGTTACTGGTTAACTGTCTTTTGTTTTACAAAGTATGCACATGTTTATGAATAGAAAACACTTTGCCGATTAAAATTAATTTTATTTTCTCAACACCATCCAGGTGTCCTAACGCCATCCAGGTGTCTCAACACCATCCATGTCCCCTAACACCATCCAGGTGTCCTAACACCATCAAGTCCCCTAACACCATCCAGGTGTCCTAACACCATCCAGGTGTCCAGGCCCCTCCATAATGAGCTGGATTAGCTGCAGGTGAACCAGGGGGGAAGTTGGGTGGGATGTAATGTTGTTTGTGGTAGTTGAGTCTGTCCTCTAGTTGCTGGACAATGTCTGGGTGGTCATCGTAAATATTGGTGCGCTCGGCTGGGTCATCTGTGGAACAGATGTTGAGGTTAGAGAATTAGGATGGAATTTAATACCTGATAAAGGCAGTGACCTTTTTTATTTGACAGTGGGCTATGTTAACATCTTGTAATCTGATAATGATATAGGTTCTGTTTTAATTTCGCTTCTGGTTTTTGTGTACATTTTTACAAGGATTCTTGTGGATGACAAATCTTGTGTCAAGCCTGGAGACTAAGCCATAGCTGCAACCTTGACTTGGGGCCATTTGTATTTAACTTGCATATCAAGGTGTCATAGCTGCATTGTTGTGTTCACTAGAACAGTTCTAGCAATATGAACTAAATCTTCAGGCGCAGACTTATCTGGAGCTTCTAAAGCTAATCAGAAATATTGGCATATGGTCTAAATCAGAAGTACTTGGCATATGGACTAAATCAGAAGTACTTGGCATATGGACTAAATCAGAAGTACTTGGCATATGGACTACAACAGAAAAACTTGGCATATGTACTATATCAGAAATACTTTACAGAGGGACTACATCAGAAATACTCTGCAGGGGGACTAAATCTGAAATTCTAGGCATATGGACTAAATAAAAATACTTGGCATAAGAGGTATATCTACAGGTGTTGATACAGCTACAGCCTTGAGTTAACCAGAAATACCTGGCACCCTAACTACATCTACAGGCGTGGATATATCTAGAGCCTAGTGCTAACCAGAAATACTAGTTGCACGCCCCTACTGTGAATGTCTTTACAAACTTGTATGCCGTCTAGTAAAAAGATCAATACCCCGTGTGTTGGCCTCAATACAACAAACTTTAGCCTCGTTTGTTGGGTTGTACACATGTATACAATCTGTCACACGGCTGTCTATTCACTGGGGTACTACGACTTGCGTTGAGTGGGTAATCCCAGAAAGTGGTAGGCTTGGTGGTGAAGATGTAGAGTAATGCGTGTTAATGTTAGCTGCACGTTTCACTAGCTGCTTGTGACGTTACGGTTGGGTGGTTTTGTTTTAAGCATTAATTGGGTGTGTGGGCGTTTTGTTCTTTTGAACGTATATTGAATATTTCAAGAGATTTCGAACGCTAATTTAAAAAAAATAATTGAAAAATAGAGATTTAGTAACAAAATTAAAAAAAAATATTGATTTAGTAATATTTTCAAGGAATGACACATGAATGTAGGCTATTAATAGTATTAAGTCGTCATTGCTAAAAGTTTTATTTTCTAGGTTTTAACCAAAAAAAAGTGTGTTTAATTAAAGATAAAATAAGCATTAAGATGGTTAAAATGAAAACATGTAACTGTTTTTTTTTTGCGTGAAATATTCTGATCTTTAATTTAGGTTTATGTTTTAGAGAGGCATTAATTTGCCGAATTTTAATATTTTACAAGTACTGAATACATCAGTGGAAAATTGACTGTGGAGACAATTTAAAAAAAAAAAGCTTGAAATGTACGCCTCGGCCTCTACCTCGCAACTTCCCTATAATGAACTACGAAATACACTACGAATGGCACCACGTCCGTAGTCTTAACTCTTAAGTGCTGCATTTATTTATTTTTTTAGTGGGGGGGGGGGGGGGGTGGAGTAGTTTGAATCCATTGTATAAATTGTAAGCCCTTGATAAAAATAAGAAAGATTAAATTGTGAGCCATTCATGCAAAATGTCAGCGGCCATTAAATTAAAAAGACATGCAGGTGTTAATGAAAATAACGCACGGGATCGCAGGCCTGAGTTACCAACTGACCAACAACACTGACCAACAGCACAACACTGACCAGCAACACAACACTAACCAACAACACAGACCAACAACACAACACTGACCAACAACACTAACCAACAACACTGACCAACAACACTGACCAACAACACTAACCAACAACACTAACCAACAACACTGACCAACAACACTAACCAACAACACTAACCAACAACACTGACCAACAACACAACACTGACCAACACCATTGACCAACAACACAACACTGACCAGCAACACAACACTGACCAACACCACTGACCAACAACACAACACTGACCAACAACACTGACCAACAACACTGGCCAACAACACTGACCAACAACACTGACCAACAACACTGACCAACAACACTGACCAAAAACACTGACCAACAACACTGACCAGCAACACAACACTGACCAACAACACTGACCAGCAACACAACACTAACCAACAACACTGACCAGCAACACAACACTGACCAACAACACTAACCAACACCACTGACCAACAACACAACACTGACCAACAACACTAACCAACAACACTGACCAGCAACACAACACTGACCAACAACACTAACCAACACCACTGACCAACAACACAACACTGACCAACAACACTAACCAACAACACTGACCAGCAACACTGACCAACAACACTAACCAACAACACTGACCAGCAACACAACACTGACCAACACCACTGACCAACAACACTGATCAACAACACTGACCAGCAACACAACACTGACCAACAACACTAACCAACAACACAACACTAACCAGCAACACTGACCAACAACACAACACTGACCAACACATGGCTTACCTTTCAAATTAAACAGGTAGTAGTAGATGGGCGGGTCATTGAGTGCGACCTTGAACAAGGTCTCGTTGACCAGGTGCCAGTTGATGGTGCCGTCTGCTGTTACGTCATTCCATCTCTCCAGGATGGGCCTCGCCACCTGCCCGGGCTGGTACCAGTCCGGAAATAGACCGGGAAAACCCGCCACTAGTTTATAGTCGCCGACACTGAAAGGTGAGTTGGTAGTTAATTGTAGAGGTGCTTTTGTTGTCAAGGGGCGGACAATGTAGTATCGTATGGAGCAGTGTTTCTTCCAGGCTACCCCCCATCCCGAACGATGGAATTTATATAGAAAATATATTATTTTAACAGTGTCCGCCCCCCCCCCCCCCGAAAATTTCAAGCGCCCCCGGGTGGGGGGGAAGTCTGGAGGAAACACTGGTAAAGAGAGAGAATATAACTCCCACCCCCCTCGACATTACCCCAGATTATTAAAACCCCGTTAAAAATCTCCCCTAGAAACAATAGCAGTATGACATTGCCTAACTGTCGATTACGATCTTAGCAATAATTCAACCTTAATCTGAAGGAAACGTTAATGTTAGGAAGTATTCTAAAGACAAAAAGCTAACTCAGTACTTTGCTGAGTACGCTGTCTGTTTAGCATTCTATAGAATGCCTAGCGGATGCACTAAATGCGATTTATAACGTATTGTTAGCCTCTGTCAGACATTTTATACAATGCCAAATTTTTCACTTTGCCGATAACGTATATAACATGTATTATCATAATGACTCTAATTACCACAAGGTTAATTGACAGGGTTCTCCTTATTCTGGCGTAATGACTAGGTTAAGGTAAAATAGCCTACCCTTTCCAACTTTCGGATCACGGGCTTGTTTCCGTCATTACGGCATATGAAGATATAACTGGGGGAAGGGGTTATTTGACGGGGGGGGGGGGGGTATTGTACTAGAACTTTTACTGAGTTATCTTTCTTGTGACGTTCCAGGCATCTCTACGGGTGGGGGGGGGGGGGGAGGAAGAAAGTCTACCACTCCCCCGAACGAAATGGACATTATATAAAAATTCATACTTTTACCAGTGTCCGCCCCCCCCCTCCCCCCTCCGGAAAATATCAAGTCGTCCCCCCCCCCCCCCCGAAGAAAAAAGTCTGGAAGGGAAAAAACACTGTTCCCATAGCGAGATTCAAAACCGACTAATATTGTACATTGTGGTGGCTTTGAGTGTAAACAACCTCATATGAAGGCATCACACAAAGAATGAGATATCTCACCGGATGGCCGCCCTGCCCTGGAAGGGGTCGATACTGAAGTCCAGGTTGTAGACCACTTCCTGTCTAGCAGAAGGTAGACTGAGGGACAGCAGGGACTTCCACTGGCTGACACCGTCGGCATCAGGATCTGGAACATTCGGGAGACGGAACAGGTCAGTTCAACAGGGGAACACGAAGGGCTTTGTAGCTGGCTTCTTTATACAAATTAAGATTACAATTTTAAGAATTTGTTTCAATCTCACCCCCCCCCCCCCCCTTAACACACACACTGATCATGATTAATAGATTGTTCCAGAGTTTACCCAAGCTCTATTTAGTACCTGGAGGACGACCTTCGATTGCATAAATTACCCAAGCTCTTTTAATGCTGTGATCAAATGATTAAAGAATCTGCTAGGAACTAGAGGGGTATATATATATATATATATATATATATATATATATATATATATATATATATATATATATATATATATATATATATATATATATATATATATATATATAACTATACAACTAGTCCTTCCCTTGGGTAGTGGGAATTCCCAAACATTCTATCAGTTTTTGTTTTAACCTTTTTACCTGTGATGCAACAGGGCGGTGAAGTAAAACACCTTTCTCTCACCTGTTGGGGTAACTGAAAGGTGAAGGATATCATACCTGTGTAGGTCGAGCCTGACACCTCTGCTAGGGTAGGGAACCAGTCAACCATGTGGAACATTCTGCAAGAGATAGTATCGGCACGTTGTATAGAATAGAATATGAAAAAATCATATAATCGATTACTGAGTATGTTACATTGAGAATTCTCGACCTTCGATTACTTGCTTAGTAAATACTAAAAATAATCGAATGCACTAGGTCTGCTATTAAATAAGACTTCTCTTTTGTATTTTATTTAAGAACTGAAACATTCCAACTATTTTAATTGGGCTGAAGCCAAGACATAAAACATATGATGACATTTAAATGTGATTTTACTTGGTTGCTTCCCATTTAGTCATTGGGCCCCATTTCAGCATCCTCCGCCCCCATATTTCTAACAACTCGGGGAAAATTCTGACTTCTATTTATTAGCGAATGTAGGTGACATATCCAACGAAAGGCCAACCTAATATCTAAATAAAATATGTGAATCAATACGAAACAGACGCTTAACTCATTATATAATTAAATTAACTTTGTAAATTAGAGTGACCTCTCATACGTCGTAAATTCTAATTAATCAATCATGACGATTGAAACCGTGTGTGATCGGACTTTTGGTGTTAGTCTTAATCCTTATCCGGGGATTACATTCGTTATTTAAAAACCAATTCTTAAGTTTTACCAATGTACTTCCCGTCTTAGCTAAAGCTAAAACTAATCTGAATATGGGAGATTACTGGATATATTTTAAGTTAATCTAACCTTAAACCTTACCGGGAGATCACCGGTTAAAGTTAATCTAAAGCCTTATTGAGAGATTACCAGGTTACGTTAATCTAAAGCCTTATCGAAAGATTACGAGGTAACGTTAATCTAAAGCCTTATCGAGAGATTACCCGTCGTATCGTATGCCAGTCTTGTAGAACATGGGTCCATGGACAAACGCCACAGCCCTGGTGCCGCCTTCAAACACCGTGAACTTCCCTCCCCTCAGGGGCAAGTTGTTGCCACCGTACGGCACCCACCCGCCGTTCTGTGGAGATGCCATAGTCAATTTGTAGAGATTTGATCTTAGGGCGGTTATTGGGTTTTCTTACATTAAGAAGATGGGTGCGGAGAAGGGGGGGTGAGTGAGGATTTAGTGGTAATGGGTGAAGAGTGTTAGCAGAAGAGGTAGAGAGAGTGGAATGGGGGGGGGGGTGATTGTGCAGTCAGTGTTACTTCCAGACTTTTTTCTCCGGGGAGGGGGGACTGTTGAAATTTTCGGGGAGGGGGGGGGGAGGGCGGTAGATTTTTTTTTTTCGGGGGGGGGGGGGGGGGGGCGGACACTGTTAAAAGTATATATTTTCTATGTAAATTTCATTTCGTTCGGGGGGGGGGGGAGTCAGTACAGATGCCTGGAAGAAACTATGTGTGCAGTAGAGGTTGTACATGTTATCAGGGGGGTAGAGGTATGTATTGATAAGGGGAAGGGGGGGGGGGTTAAGAGATTAACAGAAGGGTTCTCAGAAGATATTAATTAACATGAGCAGATATTGATAGAAGGTGTCTGAGCAGATAATAGTTAACACGAGGGGGTCTGAGAAGATACTAACAGTAAGGTATCTTGACCAGAGCAATAGTTTGCAGTTACTAGAGTAAATACAACTGAGTTAATTAAATTTGAATTCGACATTTTTTGCTCAGATTTAACCGAAGTAGTGATTTTTAAACACAATTAAACACTACAGCTCTAACGCTAGTTATTGAATGAAGTGAAATGTCGTGATTTTTAAACACAATTAAACACTACAACTTTAAAGCTAGTTATTGGATGAAGTGAAATGTCGTGATTTTTTAAACACATTTAAACACTGTAGCTATAATGGTAGTTATTGGGTGGAGTGAAATGTCGTGATTTTTTAAACACATTTAAACACTGTAGCTATAATGGTAGTTATTGGGTGGAGTGAAATGTCGTGATTTTTAAACACATTTAAACACTACAGTTATAAAGCTAGTTATTGGATTTTTAAACACAATTAAACACTACAGCTATATAGCTAGTTATTGGATGAAGTAAAATGTACGTGCATCAGCGGTGAAGACGATGAGCGTGTCGTCATAGAGGCCTCTGTCCTTTAGGGCCTTGACCACTTGACCTACAGCAGCATCCAGCGCCGTCACCATACCTGACCAACACAACAAAGTCATGAAATCGTGTTAAAAGTTATTGGCCGGGTAGTGTTAATTTTCGTGGGGGTGGCTGGTATAGTCGGGCTCAGGTCTAGTCTTCTTTCTAAACTGGTTAGAATAAAAAAAATTAAGTCTCCTTTCTAAACTGGTTAGAAAAAAAAAATGTGAAAAGTCTCCTTTCTAAACAAGTTAGAATAAAAAAAATTAAAAGTCTGAAAGAGCACATGACGATCATTGTCGTAGGTAAAGTAGAGTTTGCCCCTTTCTGTGACTTTGACGTATTAGGTATGGTGTGGTCAGCTTAAGCTCCGAGCTAACGTTCCCTAACTTGAGTCAGGCTGCATTAAAACTCCTAAAAAACGAGCCTTGGAATTAAACTCCAGACTGCTGGCTTAGCAATCGTGCGTTCTACCCCCTCAACCACGTTTCAAACACCTACACTATTTAGCCTAAGTATAATCCTATGATTTAATTTCGTTAAAATACCCCCAGCTTTGAAGAAAAGTACCCCCCCCCCCACAGATCAGACATTGCATGACGCAGATAAGTTTAAATGATGTAATCCTTGCAAAATGTTTTTGTAAAAAAAAAAACAACTAATATTAACTTTGCTTAATAATAGTTGAGAAAGCAAAACATGTTAGCGAGATAACTAATGTTAACAGCTGAGTAAACAGTTGAGTGTCATAATTATTATCATGATTAAGGTAAACTTGTCAATGTCATTATTAATGTGAACAAATTAATCTTCACATATGGGAATCGTAATTAATGTTACAGAATTTATTTGGTTTGGGGGAATAAATGTCGTAAAGATACTAAAACACCAACTCGCTGTATTCGGAGGTAATTGAAACAGACGAACTCTACTTCGTCTGCCCAACGTGTTTTAGACACAAACGGAAAAAAGTATTGAAAAGTACGAAAAGTGTGTCTATTCAGCAAAGCAAGAGATGGAACATACTTTTTTTTAAAAAGGTCTAATACGAAGATGTATTTAAAAATAATGATAAATGAACGCTCAGGTTCTAGAAAGTTCTCGAATAATCTGGCAAGGGTCAACTCTGACACGTGTATTTCTATAAATAACGACTGAACAAATAAAGCTGACATAGATCGATTATTGATTTATCGATTTTCCCCTGGTAATTTATGATCGATTACATGAAACGTAAATAGTTTAGCCCGGCTGTGTGTATCTATGTGGGGAGGTGTTGGGGCAGTGTTAGTGTGTGTGTGTGTGTTTGTGTTGGGGTTTGTGTTGGGTATGTGTTGGGGTAGGTGTTAAGTGTGTGTGTTGGTGTGTGTGTTTAGGGTGTGTGTCGGGGCATGTGTTTAACCACCCCCGGACATTCCCCCCCCCCCGTATTTACCCCCCGGAGCAATTACCCACTACCCACCTGGCTATTAATCCCCTCTCAAGGACCCCTCTGGGAAATTACCGCCCCCCCCCATCCACCAAGATAGATTCCTGATTCTAACTGCAACTCTATACCAATATATTACTTTAATCTTAACCTTAAGACAAAGACGAAAAACCTAAGAATTCACTTCACCATAAAATAAACCCAAAGCCAAACCAACCCTAGACATTGATTTAAGCCTAACCCTGATCCTAGCCCTAGCTCTAGCACTAACCCTAACCCTAACCAGAACCCTAGCCCTAGCCCTAACTGACGGGGAGGGGGGGGGGGGCTAATGCCCTGTTCCCGTGTTTAAGAAGTGTGTTGTAGTATGTGTGTGGAGTTGTGTTAACGGTGTGTGTCATGAATGGGGTTGTGGCAGAGTGTGTTGGCGTATATGTTTGTTGAGGTGTGTGTGTTGGAGGGTTATGATCGGGTGTGTGCGTGTGTGTTGGGGTGTGTGATGAGGTGTGAAGACAGGATGGGTGTGTAGGATTTTTCATTCAGTCTTAACCCCACTTGCACCAACGGATCAATTAATTATTAATTAACGGTCAAAGAATTAATTACCAGCCACCCCCCCCCCTTCTCCCCCCCCCCCCCCTCACCTAAAACAAAAATTTCACCTGAAAATGTTCGTCTGTTCACGTCCTTGATGTTGGGGTACAAGTTGGAAAAATTTTCAGGCACCTGTGAGATTTTAATTAGTTAATTAATAACCAGACGGTAATATAAAAGAATCAAGTCCAAGGTAAACTAATTAAATACAGATTATCTGCTTCATTTTTCATCATTACCTCCCTTGGATTAAACATTCGTATACCTTTGCACTCAACTTTTCAGCAAGATAACTAAAATAGCTCCAACATCGATTAACTTTGGTTTGTATCGATTAGCCGTATCCACTTATTGATATGGTTAGGATCGCGGATTACAGAACTTATGTCATTGAAGTCTTAGACTCCAAGGTCTAGTGCATAGCAGGAGCTAGGGTAACGATTGAGGATTAAGTTATATTTCCGGGTGGGAATAATTTTTAAAAGAGTAGTGCTGGGTTTCGTGGATAGGTAAACGAATCTAGGTTCAGGGTTAGGTAAAGGTCTATTGATTTAAGTATATTAACTTTTCTTTCGAATATGGGTTCAAGTACGTAGAATGTCACTGAGTCCACCCAGCTCGAATGGGTATCTAACTCACGTTAGGGAAAGTAAAGGCGGCTGGGCATAGAATCTCCTTAAATGCTGAAGTCAAGAAACATGAACTCTACTTCATCTGTCGAATGGATCGCTAGGTCTAAAGAGGAATCTTTACTTTACTTTTAGATTCACTTTTCCAGTAATACAAATATACTGGTCTCGGTAATCAATGATCACATACGATATGTAATTCTTTACATCACATATTTCATCGATTTTATTTTCTTAACATCATGGTGCAGTTAAAACATTGTTACTATTGTTGACCCCTCTCTCATAACATGTATCTTAAAACAGTTAACCAATCAAACCGTTGTTACTGTTTTTGACCCATCTCTCATAATATTTATCTTAAAACAGCTGTCCAATCAAAACGTTGTTACTATTGTTGAACCATCTCTCATAACATTTATCTTAAAACAGTTAACCAATCAAAAGGTTGTTACTGTTATTGACCCACTTTTTATAAACAGGTACAAACCAAAACGATGTTTTAATTTTTTATCCATCCTATCTCTCATTTATCTCCAATTATCTTTTTATTATCAACTTTCAAGTAATGAACTTTGGTCGATAATTAAAACCACGGACTAATTAACCTCTCACCTCAAGAGGTTCATGAACGTTCTGGAAGGGCAGGTAGAGGAAGAGTGGCGTCTGGGGGTCGTGGCTGTTGATGACTTGCTTGATCCTCTCTGTGTACAGGTACTGTAGGATATAGGGGGATCAGGTGTACAGGTGTACAGATACTGTAGGATATAGAGGGGAACAGGTGTACAGGTGTACAGGTGTACAAGTGTAAAGGTACTGTAGGATATAGGGGGGAATGGGTGTACAGGTGTACAGGTATACAGGTACTGTAGGATATAGGGGGGAATGGGTGTACAGGTGTACAGGTATACAGGTACTGTAGGATATAGGGGGGAATGGGTGTACAGGTGTACAGGTACTGTAGAATATAGCGGGAATCAGGTGTACAGGTTCTGTAGGGTATAGGGGAAACAGGTGTACAGGTGTACAGGTACTGTAGGATATAAGGGGAATTCAGGTGTACAGGTAGGCAGGGGCATAAGGTGTAGACAGGGGCGTAAGGTGTACAGGTAAACAAGGGCATAGACAGGGGCATAAGATGTACAGGTAGACAGGGGTGTAGATAGGGCGTAATGTGTACAGGTAGACGGGCATAGGTGTAGACAGGAGCATAAGGTGTACAGGTAGATAGGGGCATAATGTGTACAAGTAGACAGGGGCACACGGTGTACTGGCCCACGAACATGGTGCCGTTGTAATGTTATGAGCTGTAAACTAAACTGTCTTCACCATAATAACATTTGTGTACGCTTGTCTGACATAAATTATTTAAAAAAAAAACACTCTATGTTCAATAATTCCAATGCACCTCTCCTTCCCCCTCACCTACCTGTTCCTGCTACCAACCAACAACTTACAGAGGAATAGGTGCCGTTTGCTGCCTTATACACCTCTTGGTTGTCACGGAAATCGTAGCCCTGACCTATGAGAGAGTTGTAGACCTTGGTAAACAACATTCACTTCAAACACGTTATTAGTTTCAAAATTAGGGTTAATTGTCATGGGTTTCGGATAAGGTTAACGTTAATAAATGTCTTATAGTTTAATACAGGTAACCAAGCACCCACATTCAGTGTTTCTTCCAGACTTTTTTCTCAAGGGGGGGGGGGGGGGGCGGACTAAAATTTCCGGGAGGGGGGCGGACAGTGTTAAAAATATGTTTTCTATGGGGGGGGGGGGGGTGGAGCCTGGAAAAAACTCTGCCCACATTGTTTTATAAAGAAGATCCCATTACATTATTGTGGCACTTATAAAACCTGCATGAGCCATAGAACTGGTTGGTGACCTACTTACCAGCCCTATAGGAAACTGGGTCTGAAACACACTAACAGCCCCCAAATTAATTCATTTCACATAAGGACAGGTGTTTACTGTGTTAACGATACAAGTAGCATTGAATAGTCTGGCTTTAAAGATATCCTCTACTTCATCTACAATGTGGACTCACATTTTGCCCATTCAAGAATTTGCCGAATTTAAAAAAAAATGAAATAAAAAGAAGAATATAGGCCAGGGGTCTCCAAACTTTTCAGCCCGAGGGCCGCATTAACTATCAAATATCAGTTCGGGGGCCAGAGCTTCTTCCAGGCATATCATTGGGTGGCATTTTTCCTCAGCCACTTACAACAAACATTTTTTTCCGTGGACAAAAATATCTCCGAGGGCCGTATGAGAGGACCTCGCGGGCCGCATCCGGCCCGCGGGCCGTAGTTTGGAGACCCCTGATATAGGCTATCAGTGAAAACAAATAATGTCAGTTCCGACACATTTCACCGCCATTTTGTCACGTGATGTGAGACGTACCGTACATCTTGGTGTAATGGTCCTCCATGGCGTTGTAGTAGCCAAAAAAGGAATCGAAGCCCCTAAATGTGGGCGTACACTCCCACTTGCAGAAGCCCAGGTGCCACCTGTAGAGGTCATCAACTCAAAAATTAGCATACGTTTTAATCTGAGGTCAAATCTTAGATATGAAGGCCTAGTTGTAACATAACACCCAGATGCCATATGTAAAGGTCATCGACTCAAAAATTAGCATACGTTTTAATCTGAGTTCAAATCTTAGATATGAAGGCCTAGTTGTAACATAACACCCAGATGCCATATGTAAAGGTCATCGACTCAAAAATTAGCATACGTTTTAATCTGAGCTCAAATCTTAGATGTGAAGGCCCAGTCGTAACATAATACCCAGGTGCCATATGTAAAGGTCATCGACTCAAAAATTAGCATACGTTTTAATCTGAGCTCAAATCTTAGATGTGAAGGCCCAGTCGTAACATAATACCCAGGTGCCATATGTAAAGGTCATCGACTCAAAAATTAGCATACGTTTTAATCTGAGCTCAAATCTTAGATGTGAAGGCCCAGTTGTAACATAGCATAATAATTTTTTTTTTAAATCCGTATTTTAGACAAGTTAAAAATCCGTTTTTAGACAAGTCAACTTTAATTCAAATCTTATATGTAAAGGCCCAGTTATAACATAACATAATAAATAAAACAAATATGTGTTTAAGAAAAGTTAGGTGTAAAAAAGAAACAACGTTACACCCATATCAGCTAACAGTAAAAATGCTACTACTATAGTTAAGTAAAGAAAAGAAAGGTGGAAGTGCATACTGCTGTTCAAACTGTCCCTTCAAATGCAGAGGTCTTAGAAACAGGGCGAACTCTACCTTATCTACAATGTGGTTCACTAGGTCCGAAATGGTAACCTGTTTTTTTATATTTTTTTTTCAGCTTTGTTGATTTGTTTGAAAGATTAATTAATTAGTAAATTAATAATTATCTTGGTGATAATTAAGAGACATACACCAAACCAACCCCCCTCCAGTTAACAAAATGAATGGATGTACAGCAATAAAATGTCAAGTTTTGTATATGTGTAAAACATTTTACAGTCAAGTTTCATACGTGCGTACATACAAGAATCAAGTTTAACATGTTTGTACACCTAAAAAAATGCCAAGTTTTTTCACTCGTGTGTACAGCAAGAAGCTGTCAAGTTTGCCATGAATGAGTGTCAAGTTTCCTTACTTGCCAATGATGTGTGTGGCGTATCCTTGTTTCTTGAGGACCTGGGGTAGTAGAGTTTTGTTGTCGGGGACACAGACAGCCTGCTCTTGTGTGATGACGAGGTGCTGGAACAACAGGTGTCACGTTAGTTAACAGCAGGGTGTCATGTGAGTTAGTTAACAGCAGGGTGTCACGTTAGATAGTTAACAGCAGGGTGTCACGTGGGTTAGTTAACAGCAGGGTGTCACGTGAGTTAGTTAACAGCAGGGTGTCACGTTAGTTAGTTAGCACCAGGGTGTCACGTTAGATAGTTAACAGCAGGGTGTCACGTGGGTTAGTTAACAGCAGGGTGTCACGTGAGTTAGTTAACAGCAGGGTATCACGTGAGTTAGTTAACAGCAAGGTGTCACGTGAGTTAATAGCAGGCTGTCACGTTAGTTAGTTAACAGCAGGGTGTCACGTGAGTTAGTTAACAGCAGGGTGTCACGTGAGTTAGTTAACAGCAGGGTGTCACGTGAGTTAGTTAACAGCAGGGTGTCACGTGAGTTAGTTAACTTACTTAACAACATGAGTGTTACGTTAGCTATAGTTATTTAACTTACCTAACAGCATATATGTCACGTTAGCTAGAGTTGTTTTACTTACTTAACATCAGGAATGTCATTTAGCTGTTCAGCTTACAGCATGGCTGTCAAGCTAGCTAGAGCTGTTTGTTTGCTATAATGACATCGGCGTCACGTTAGTTAAAGCTTTCCAACTATTCTATTTTACCAGTACAGTGTTCACGTAAGTTATAGGTGAGTAGAGAGTTACCTTGAGTCAACAAGAGACTTACCTGTAGCCCAAGACGGAAAGGGTAATATCCGGTCATGAGGGCAGCCCTAGACCTGTGAATAACAAGAACGGTTACCTTTTATAAAGTAGACAGGTAAAAACATCTGGAATGAGCAAGAGAGGTACTCAAGTTTTAAAATGTAAACATGTAAATTAAGTTGTCATCACGTTCAATAAAAGCGCTTCACATTTAATGACAATTATATCATAAAGGTCATATAAAAATTACATTTTTAACTCTAAAAAGCTAAAAAAAATAAAAAAATAAACACAATGCTTTTTGTCACACATTAGTGACCATACTGTAAGTGGCATCACTAGGTCGTGGACTGAGGATTTATCAACCCTTTTCAAGACTTTCGCTTCTTCTGTTTGGTGTCACCCGCCTCTCTCAGATATTTTATGTTCAACCAGATACAGCACTGTTTTCGTAGTAAATTTTCGATTTGGTATCCCTATTTCTCTGCCTGATGCATGATGCTCAACTACATTGAAAACCCACCATAACTCATTTGTCAGCATCGTTTCATATTTTTTATCCCAAATGATTCAAAGAACATCGATACAAGCATCAACTTACGGCGAACAAAGGGGCTGTACATAACTCTGGTTTAAAATTATTCCCTCCCTTGCTAGAGCATCCAAATTTGGGCTGATGATGTTTGGGTTGTTGAAGCCGATGTCGTTCCAACCTACATTAATTGAAAGATCGAATAAATAATGGAAAAGAAAAGTAAAGATTCCTATTTAGACCATTGGGCAGATGAAGTAGAGTTTTTATGTTTCCCGACCTCGGCATGGAAGGGAAGGTGTGGTCATCACTCTGCCCAGCCGTCTTTACTTTCCGTAACATGAGTTAGGTACCAATCTCGGATTTGAACTCCAGACTTTAGGGTTAGCAGCCTAGCTTAGGCTCAGGCCACGCCGTCCCAACATCAATATTAATTGTAATTTAATGGTTTAACCTTAATTAGTTATATAGCGCTCAACCCTATGGAACCTTCAGATCGTTTTTCAAGTTTTATGTTTTTAATTTTTAGATATATATTCACTTTTTATAAAGAGTTGTAATATTTTTCTTTAGTGATAGTGCAATGACAACTAAATTTTATTTTGTGAACGACTGCCAGATAAATTAGCTAAAATCAGTAGCTCGATAACCATACCCCATGTGTATTTCGCAGTATTCTTTAAAAACTACACCCTAACTTATAGAGTTAAAGCCTTGATGTGTGGTTTAGTTTGGAGTGTGTGTATAGTTTAGGATTAGTACTATATTAATGTTTATGCTTATAGCTGAAATAACCGCTACTGTCTATTTGTTGACTGAAGATAGTTAGGCCTACTCTTAGCAATCAACACATTAAAACATGGCTCTTAAGATAACACTTACTGAAGAGATACTTGAGTGAGATTAAAACTTGATGAACATTATAGCAAACATCTGCACATTTTAGATAGGTATTTAAAACACGCTTGTGGGACGTGTTAATTCAGGAATTGTACACACAACCCGTGTGTGTTAAGGAATTGTACACACACCCGTGTGTGTTAAGGATTTGTACATACAGTGGAACGTGTTAAGGATGTGTACATTTAGAATTAAATAAGATGATAGTGTGTGCATAATGTTGCAGCATCGCTTCCTTTTAGCTTAGTAAGAACACTTAGGGCATAGGCTACACAATGCCCCTGACATAGGCTACACAATGCCCCTGACTTAGGCTAAACAATGCCCCTGACTTAGGCTAAACGATGCCCTTGACTTAGGCTAAACAATGCCCTGACATAGGCTACAAAATGCCCTTGACTTAGGCTAAACAATGCCCCTGACATAGGCTACAAAATGCCCTTGACTTAGGCTAAAAAATGCCCCTGACTTAGGCCAGAATTGACGCAGCACACAATTACTATTGATACATTTTTTTAACCGTTATATTAAATAAATTCTATATTTATTGTTGTTATATTTGTTATTTTTTTATAAAATTTTTAATTAGATTGTATTGTTGTTTTTCTTCCATTTTTTATATTATTTGATAGTTCTTTAATTGTTATATTTTATTGTATTATTTTTTTAATTCCTATATGATCTTGTATTGTTATTTTACAAATAGTTATCTATATTGAATTAAATTGTTATATTTGATTGTTATTTTGAAATTGTTATATTAGTTTGTTGTTTCTGTAACTGTTATTTTATATTGTTATTTGTTTGGCTGTAAACAACCCTCACATACAACAGTTCGGATATACCATCTCACCTAGATCGTCTGCTACTATCATCACAATGTGGGGGTGGGCAGGTTGCGACCGGCAAGACGACGCCATCCCTAAGATGGTCACGAGCAAACACAGCAGTACATGGCTCCACCGTCTCATGTTTGTATGTGGTAGTGGGGATCTACAGGATACAAAATGTAAGGGTCAGTAATGGTCAATACATTAGATGCAAGTAAACTATTAGGGGGTCTTCAAATTGTGAGGTTTTTCAACAAGAACATACTTTAAAAATACTTAAAATACACACTCTTCCGTCGTCGTGTGTTTTATTTCTATGTTGCTTCGAAAGTATCTAAACATAGAAGTTGCGACCGGTAATTATTAAACAAATAGCGCCGTCGAACAGTTAACTAGTGAAGACCTATCTCCATTACTAGAAGTGGTCTGGCTGTACCCAAAAGCTCCTGGAAATTTTAAAAGGGGCCCCAACCCCAGATCAAAATATTCATTGTGCATTTTCCCTCATCAAATCCGGATGATTATATTAAGCTGGATGGAAATTCACGTGGTATTTTTTTTTAAATAACCTCAAATATAAAATAAAATAAAAGGGCATAGTTTTCCTGTTTGGCGGAGTGCACTGGGGTGGGCATTGCCTTACAACTAGAATTTAAACAAATTTGGGATTAAAGGAAGTCAATAATAAAATATTACAAGCAACATGTATATTATTTGAAATAAAACACAATGAGACACCTCAAAATAAATCATTTTGTCCCTTCAAACAGATATGTTCATAGCGGTCCTCATAAGGAGTTTTATATCCTTTTTAAACAATAAATACTTTATTTTTTTTAATAGGCCTATAGTTTCAAATACATTATAAAGTAATACAATAAAGTAGCCGTCTTTCAGTGACAGAGACGGTCGATACAGTACGTGGTAAAAAAAAAACATTTTACATTACAGAGTGTGTATATGGATATATATATATATATATATATATATATATATATATATATATATATATATATATATATATATATATATATATATATATATATGCACACATATATATATATATATATATATATATATATATATATATATATATATATATATATATCAACTTAACATTGTATTAAATTATTGTATTACATGGCTTTATATATCGCAATACTTTTAAAAAATTGTATCGATTGAATGTTTATGTTTATTACTTCCCATCTTGATATTCAAAATAACCAAGGGGATAAAATATAACGTAAAGTGTGTTAATAATTTAAAAATTCTTAATTAATTTATAAAAGAAAAACAAAACATTTTTAAAAATTTAATTATATAAATAAAAATATTTGTACTACCCTTTTGTTAAATTATTGTTTTTTTCGTGAGCTTAATAATTGAAATTGTAGTCTAAACTAAATGACGAGCCATCAATTTTATTAAATATATAATTTATTATAAAGTAAAAAAGATTTTATTATAACTATTGTGAACTTTCGATCAATCAGTGTTTTTGATGTTTTCTTTCTTTTCTGAACATCAGACAAGTAATTTACAGCGTCGATGTGTCTTGTTATAGTCTGATATGTATTACAGTCTTTAAGGACTGATACAGATTTACAATAGTAATAGCTATTTCTGACATGTACTTTCATTCATTTAAGATGGTTTACTTACACGTAATACAGCACGTCTGATATCAATTTTTTTGTTTCTCTTGCAACAATGAAATAAATGTATTTTAAGAAAAGAAAGCACAAACAAACAAAAAAAAATGAAGGAAAAAAAATTATTTTAAAAAGTCAATGTATCTTATTAGTGTGAAAAATATGTTGAAACTCAAGTTGTTGAAAAAAAATTACTGTTCGTCTATAGGAAACACACACTATCCTTTAATACAGAGACAGATGAACTCTACTTCACTTGCCCCATTAAGCGTCAGGTTTGAAAGGAAACTTCACCTTTACGGAAGTAAATACAGCGTGTCGCCTGCCTCTCACCTGCTCTGTTTTAAAGGCGGTTACCGTGAAATGTCTCGAATGGTTCTTTAAATATTTTAAAATCTTGTGCTGTTATACAAACTTCATTTAGAAGGTTTTGTTGGAGTTTACTAAAGATTTTTGTAATAGATGTTTTTTAGTATTTTCGGTAACCAAACCAAATTTTTAAAAGACAAAAATGATTGGATATTTTTTTTTAAATGTTATCACTGAAAATAAAAGTAAACATGATATATTTATGTCATATGATAAAAAATGTTTAAAAGTTTTTTTCGGCAAAGTTTAGAGTAAAAATTACTACAAAATGAGGTTTTCAGAAGATCGATTAAGGCGTTTCTATACAGCCATTCAAAGCTGGTCTTACTTTAATGAATATTATAATTTAGGCTCAATGAAGATAAATAGAAATATAGCCTTAAACTCTAAAAATATTTTTAAGTTCTCTGGATTTTCAACTTTGATAACATTGATTCTAAAAATATTACATTTCTGAAATTCAGGCTTAAATTATTTCGTTTTGCCAGTCAAAATAATACTTAATTAGAGCTCATCAACCTGTATTAATAACTGACAATGGATAAACATAATTACTATTAACTGTGCATATTTTAAAATTACCACTCTTAGATTTGTTGAGTATTTTGAATAACTGATAAGTCAAGCAATGGCCGGTGACACCAAAATCTAATAATTTACCATGAAAACGATGCTTTTTCCACATGAATCAATAAGTGTTTTAATACAATGTGCGAACAAATTGACGCCAATAGGCAACTACATAGGCTATTTAGACCATTATATATATATATATATATATATATATATATATATATATATATATAAATATATATATATATATATATATATATATATATATATATATATATATATATATATATATATATATATATATATATACATATATATACACATTTTGGTGGGGGGGTGACACAATGAGATGCCGCACCAGGTGACACCCGACCTAGCGACGCCACTGCTTAGTATGTCTCAGATTAGGATAATGATATAGATACCAAACTTGGATAGGCGCTAAGATTGTGTGTTCGGAATT